TTGTTGTTGTTGTTGTTATTATTATTTTTATTAGATATTATTATGAAATATACCAATCAAATTGTATAATATAAAAACTTTTTTTCAGCTTCTCTTGTATACTCATTTCTTTTTGTTGTTGTTGTTTTTTGGGGGTTTTTTTTTGTTTATTCAAATTCGTTTTTATATTCTTTTAGTGGTGAGTTTCCCTTTCTTTTCTTTCGTTCTTTCGTAGGTGTGCTATTTATCTTTTGTGCTGTTGAACTGATGTAGTTTTTCTTTCTCGTTTTCGTGTTATCTTAGTCGTTTGTTTCCTGACTAATTTCTATAAGTTATTCTACAAATAAGTTTCCTGTTCTCTGTTCCAGTGTCTCCAACAAAGAGCGCCCTCAAAATAGTGGATAAAACATTGGACGTTTCTCTCGACTGCGAGGTGGCCAAAGAGTAGAGCATTAGACAGGAGTACCGATATAATTTTCACACTTTGTGAACTTTTAAGAAAAAGACAACTTTCTACAAACATACGTAGTTTTCAGGAAGTTATAAGAATAAACATAACATCAGCGACAGCAACAACGACAAAACATCAACAATGACAAAACATTAACAACAACAACAACAAAGTAGCAGCTTCAACAACAACAACAACAACTACAACTACTACTACAACAACTGCAACACAATATAAAAAAAAACACCACCACCACCACCAACAACAACAACAACAACAAAAGTAGCAGCAGCAGCAGCAGCAGCAACAACAGCAACAGCAGAAAAAAAACCTCAAAGAAAAACAGACAATAGCACAAAACAGCTTCGGCACATTAGCCTGAGTGGCAGCCATGCTGTAAATTGTACAGGACTAGACCGCAAATACGCTTTTGGATAATATCAAAAAGCAATCGAGCTTTCTAGAAGGTTCTAGAAACCATGGATTCCAAACACAAGGCTCTTCTAATGCACCATCGCCCCTTCCTGGCTCGGAACATCGTCTGGTCATCCCCGTTAGTTGACCAGCTCAAAGCTCAAGGACTGCTCACAGACTTCATGCTTAAGGACATTGAGGTCAGTATTTGAGTTTACATGTAGTTTAAATAAACTGTCACCCCCCACCCCCTCCCCCCTTTTTTTTCTTTCCTCAAAGAAACAAACACAAAAAGAAAGAGATAAACAGCCAACACATATTAAAAAAATAAAGAGAAACACCTTTACACCCTTCCCACCTACCCCGCTCCGCCTCGGGACCCACCCCCCTTACAGCCCC